TATATATACGCGCACACACACAAACACCAGCTCTTAGATATTTCCTGATCTCCTGTGTCTCATCCCTGTAGGAACTGTTTCTTTGTAATATATACGTGTGTATATGGGTGTAATTCCTTAGTTGCACCGCAGGAAGCATTAGATGTGGGACACCTGTTCTCCTATTGTTCTACTACTTGGGGGATATTCCCACCTTTCTCTCATGACTGCACTATGCAAATAGGCAAGAATAAGCTGACAGCATCGATTTATTTTCTTCCCAGATTAAATGATTTTTCATGAAGTTGGAAGTTCCGGTTCAGCAACTTCCTCTTCTGACCTCATGCCAGGCCACTCACTTGAGGGTTATTGAGTCACTCAGAACATGACATCTGATGGCAGATTTTTTATCCTTAGAGTTCCCCATGAGAAGAAAAAGGAGAACAAGAAGCAAGACGATCTGCCCGAAGACTGGCCCTTGCCTGATGGGCAGATGCTGCCGAAGGGGGAAGTTGCCCAGGTCTTTAAGGACAAAGCAAAAGACACAGGAGGTGACAAGGCTACTAAGGAAGGCCCATCTCTAGGCAGAACGCAACCAAGAAAAGATGCCAAGGGTAAGGCCAGCCCGGGGCTGCAGACAGACCCTGTCCCTGTGCATTTGCAGGCACCGTTGGGTTTATTAAATTGGGTCCCGGAGCTGGACCTTCTCATGCAGGGTCACAGCTGCTGGGGTAGGAAAAGCATTGTGGTTGCAAACAGCAAGTCTGCAGAGCTACTGCTATTCATGACTGAACTTCTGGCTCCAAAGCTATAATTCCCATACTTAGGTATGATCCGGGGCTGAGCCGCAAAGGACCACAACAATGGAATGAAAGGCCGTGCATGCTGATTAGCTCAGGGGCCTCATTCTGTGTCATGGGCCCCAGAGGCGGCCTCATCTTCTCAGTAATGGAATCTGATACTCAGGAGGAAAAGCAGAGCGCACTTTTCCCGGGGGGGGGGGGAGGGGATGGCTTTGTTCTGGCCAAGGGACCCCAACCCTTTTCCCCATTGATCACCTTTGCTTCTGCTGAGTTGGGCTCTTCCACGCTGGGCTGCCTCTCAGCCCAGCAAAGCACGGACCTGAGCCCCAGCCATGTCCCATCGAGGCAGGAAGAGCCACTGGCCAACAAGGTCTCCCTTCTAGTATGCGGAACGAATCACTTAGTGCTGGTGGCAGGTGTCTTCAGAGTAGGAGGCAGCGGCCACAGAGCTGATCCACGGGAGAGCAGCTAAGCCAGCTGGAAGCATGTCTCCTTGTTTCTCCTTTTGTAAATTCTCCCCCCAACCCACCTCTCTGTCCCTTCTCCCCTGCCTCACCTACCTATTCCCCAAGGGATGACTTACCCTTGCCTATGGCTCTCAAGCTCCAATTTACCAACCCTGATTTACCAAACATACGGAGTAGCCTGCGTTGTCTGTGCCCAGGGGGCTGGGGCGAGTCCTCTCTGCATCTCTATCTTCCTCTCGCTAAAGAAGTCAAACCTCCTGCAAATACATTTACAGGGCATTTCTGCTAAGTGTGCCCCCCTGCCAACGGGGGAGGGGAGAGCGAGGGGGGTATTTTTAAGATGAAAAGTTATCTTTAGGGCACCTGGGTGGCTCAGATGGTTAAGCGTCTGCCTTCGGCTCAGGTCATGGTCCCGGGGTCCTGGGATCGAGTCCCACATCGGGCTCCCTGCTCCTTGGGAGCCTGCTTCTCCCTCTGCCTCTCTCTCTCTCTCTGTGTCTCTCATGAATAAATAAAAAAAAAAAAGTTATCTTTAAGCCTCATTTGCTACCTGGAAGACGCAACCTTTTCTGATCATTAACATGGAACCATCACTTATTCCACATGCTAAACACAGTGACAAATGATAGTTGCCAGAAAGGGATACATAAATTCTCCTAATTACCCCCAGAGACCTATCCGCATGGAATCAGAAAGGGCTTTCGTTATGCGGCCATTGCTCAGTTCTTGAAAGTCAGAGTCTCGCTTCCCTAAAAGCCGTCTCAGCTTTAGTCTCATTTGGGCCAATGAAAGCCATGATGATGGAATCATATAAGGCAGAACTTGAAAAGTGGGGGGGGGGTTTTCTTTTCTTTTGTTTTGTTTTTTGTTTTTGCAAAGCTCAGTCTTATCCCCCAGGACTGAAACTAGTAATTAAGGAGAATTGCAGGGTAAGGGAAGAGAAGAGATGTAGCAAAGTGATGTAGGAGAGAGAGGGGAGACCCTTTATTTTGGGATAAAGGCCTCAGCCTTGAAGCCAAGCAAGTGCAAAATCTGTGTTGCAGACACAGTTGAGGATGAGCTGTAAACTTCCAAGGCATGTGGGGGAAACCTCTGGCCTCCTCCTGTCTCCGAGCTCAGAGGCTTGTTGAAGGAACACACAGAAGCCCAGGGCTTTTCCAGATACCTCCAAAGAGCAGTATGCTACTCCCCCACTCTTCCAACCTTCCCAATTTATATTCCTTTCCAGTTCTGTTTAGTGATCAGAGCCCCCCTTTGCTTTTTGACCTCGGTTTCCCAGAGCAGCCATTTATACAAGTCAGCTAAGCGACAAGAACTTTAGGGAGTGCATGGGATACAAAAATGGATGCGTTCCCTCCCTCCCTGAATCTTTGCTGAGCACCCACTCCGTGTCAGGCTCTGTTCCAGTGCTGAAAATACCTTGGTGAATAAAACCAGTAATCAAAGACACGAATGCAGTGAATGCATTAAGGGGCCCCGTGCTGTTCTCTAGCTCATCCCCAGCCTTCCAGAGCAATGTTGGCAGAGGGTGAATGTGAGCTGCGTTCCCACCCACTTACAGTCCAGTCTGGGCCAAATCAATTATCTCAGGAGGATTCCAGTGCTTGCTCCAGAAGAAAGGAGTGCTTTGGGAAGCTTTGGAGGGAAGCATTTATCCTGGGAGCCTGAAGTTCAGAATCCACAGACTGCCCCCATGTGAGCCCTTCTGGTTCGTATTTTCTTCCCCCTTGAAAGTAATTAAGCTTTTCTTCCATTTGGGGGTCTCTACCCACTTCTGACCCTGAAAGGCTCAGGAAATTACAAAGCAAGTTTTCCAACAGATGCTTTTCCCAGCGTCAGATGGTCCGACACAGCTGCCAATTTGCTTTCACTCCATCTTGCAGGCCTGCCACATTCAGAAGTAAAAATGGCCCCTTGCTTGCTTGTGGAATGCCCAGCTGCAAAAGCGAGGCTGCCTTTCACCACCTGAGAGGCACTCCTAACCTCACAGAGGGTCCGCCAAGCAAGAGATCCTGGCAGGAAACATCCATAGGGGTAGGATGCAAAGATCGACAGTAGAGTGGTGGACTGTGTGTGTGTGTGTATGTGTGCATGGGGGGGGAGGGGGGATAGAAAAAGGAAGGGAGGGAAATTCATACATGTTTAAGAACTGGGTGAAATGGGCTTGCTTGGAAATGTGCACTTTCCACAGCAATCTTTGGAATCCTAGGGCAGAGCGGAGCAGGGGTGATTGCATCAGAAGGATCTGCAGCCACTCCCCGTCAGAAAGCCATGTGTTGTATGAAATCCGAACCACATCCCTTGCTGATGACCCGCCTCCGCTCGGGGGGATCTGGGGCGATTTGGAAGATTGTAGATCAAAAGGAGAGCTTGCTCCAATTTGTCAGAGTCAGGAAAACACAGCATTCAGACCAGTATTGGGTAACTGCACATCCTGTCTAAACACGCTCCCCAAGCCTTGATGGTTTAGCAGAGCATGACTTGGTTTTCTCTGAAAGCAGCAGATGATTGAAAAAGAAAGGAGAGGAAACAGAGCAAAAGCTCAGAGGTGCTGACGGGTCCGCCGCTGACATGCCTCGTGGCTTTGTGCAACTCATCCCAGATTTTGGTGCTTTGGTTCTGCCTCATGCCGAACGGAGCTCGTTGTGCTCAGAGCATCCGAGAATCACCAAGTTGGGAGAGATCTTCAAGGTCGTAGTGTGACCACTAAGAGCCTGACACCTAGTAGACACTAAGAATTCTAATCCATCAGTGAAGTCACTGAGTGGAGGAGTGAACATGTGAACGCTGGGATCCCTGTACACCAACTCCACAAGCAGTCATTCGGTCTAAAGCACCAGTAACGACATGACCATCTGCTGAGATGGGCCACTCTGTCTTTGGCAGCTGCAGCTGTTAACATCGTGAGCAAATCCAAATCCAAATCCAGAACTACCTCCTGGAAGCTTCCACCGCTGGTTCCATTTCCACCCATCGGGGCTGGGTGAGATGTGTTTGATCACTCTTCTATGAGGCTGTCTTTCATAACTGCCGTGCCTCCCATTGGGTTCTCTCTTCTTCGGTCTTATTATTTCCACCTCCTTCAGCCATGCCCCAAATCACAAGATTTAGGGTTTTTTTGTTTTTAAGTTTTTTTAAGTTTTTTTATTTATTCATTCGAGACACGGAAATACAGAAAGAGAAAGCACGAGCAGGGGGAGAGGCAGAGGGAGAAGCAGGCTCCCCGCTGAGCCAGGAGCCAGACATGGGGCTCGATCCCAGGACCCTGGGATCATGACCCAAGCTAAAGGCAGATGCTTAACCATCTGAGCCACCCAGGTGCCCCAAGAGAGTTTTAGGGTTATAGAGTCTGCACCATTGCCATCATTGTCCTCTGAATGAGAGACAGTTTGTCTAGGTGCTTCTGAGCTGAATTCAGTGATTCATCTGTGATTGGACCAGGAAGGGAAAAGTGGGTCTGTCCCCTTCTTGTTGCAGATCCTGGGTCTAATGACGCAGGCGATTGCCTCACTGGTGTGTGCAGTGGCTAAGCCTACTCATCTTTCCCCAAAGCTGAATTTACTTTTTAGATCCCAAACAGATGCTCGGTTACCGGCTGCTCAAAGACAAAGAGCAATTCTTTGGGTCTTCTGTGCTTCAGACAAAATTAAACACATCAAGGCCAATGAGTGATTCATTACTGTGGTTAAATTCTATTTCAGCCACCCTCCTCCCCATCTCACACCATTATGCATACTTCCCATGAGTCAGTAATGAAGGAGAGAGGCATCCCTGAATCCCCCTCTCACCCTGATTATAACTCTAGAAAAGGATCCTTAAATTATAATAAAGATGTTGAGTTGTTCCTTGCACATGTTAATACTGGACAGTTTACCAAGTATTTTTCAAATACTTGGGGAGTGTACCTTATTTTTTAGATTTTTATATCAGACAGAATTACATTTGCCCTGAAGGGATAAGAAGAAAAAAATTCCACCAACAGAAAGAGGAGTGTATTTCCTCCATATGACAAGATGTCCAGAGGAAGGTAGTTCAGGGCTGGTAGGGGTCTCCATGATGGCATCAGAGACCCAGGCCATTCATAGCCTTCTTATCATGAGGATAAGTCCTCATGTTCACAAAATGGCTGCTCACCTCTGTGCATCACATCTATCTCCCAAGCGAAAAGAGAACAGATGAATGAAGATAAAAGAGAAAGATACATTCTAGCTGACTGGAAGAAAATAGTAACTTTCCAAGATACCTCTTTCTCTCCAACAAACTTTTATACACACACACACACACACACACACACACATTGGAAAAGTTGGATTAAAATGTACATTACCAATACTAGAAGTAAAG